GACACATTCTAAAGAAACAGAAAGGGCCACTACAGACAGGCTCTCCTCTCCCTCCTCCTCCTTGATGAAATTAAGCCCATTGCACATAGAGAAGCACGGAAAGGCACCGTGACACATAGGCTTTGGCACAGCCTTCCACCCCTTGGTGTTTCCAGTGGGAGGAGGAGTCAGGTGATCTGATGGGGTCACCAGGCTGCAAGTAGGGATACCTATACTAAAGGAAGGTTTTGTGATTGAGTCCCACAAAACAACGGTTTTTTTCCTTAAAGATCTTGGGTTTCTCTTCTTCTAACTCAATAAAATGAACATAAACCAGTGGGGACATAGTTTGAACACAAAAGACATTGTATGTTACGATGTAACTATGACCCTATAGTTGGTAGAGAATCCCAAGCTATTCTTTAAAAATTTTTAAATTAAAAAAAAAAAATCTTCTGGAGGTCCAGAAATCATTTTATCTGACACTGTCTTTGAAGTAAAAAAAAAAAAATCATTTTAAAAATAAAACTGTATAAATAACCGCGAATGTGTATGGGAGCAAGTGTTCTCATAGGAAGTCTATTCTCAGGCACTGATTGGGGGAATAAATATATCCAAAAATTATAAGTCATTAATTTTAATGTCACAAGATAAAAATGTAAAAACGTGCTTCAAACTTTCAAAGAAGGCAAATATCCAATACATTTTTCTGAAATTCTGAATCAAAGCTTTGAATAACCTCAAAGCAAGGATGTACTCTCAATAATTGCTCAGAGTTCTCTATCGATCTGGGAATCCTCTCCTCCATGCTGCCAGTGAATGTAGCATAGCTAACTCAAGCCACGTATCAGAGGGGACTGACAATCCTCAAGTCTGAGAAAACTAAAAGAGAAGAGAACGGCCCTGGACTCAAGGGCTCTGCTCACACTGTGCTACTAAAAAACCCCCGGCAAGCACACACTTTCCAAAAACACTCAGTGAAGAAGTCCAGACACAGGAAAGCCTCTATAATAACCAATTATCCAAAAAAGGAAGCAAAGTACTCTGCATCTGTGAAACTTCGCTTACAGAATTAACTCTTTGCAACCTGCTGGATCCTTGAAAAATGGGGTTAGTGAGAATAAAAGGGTGTACATCCACATAAACTTGGAAAAATGCGTATGCTTTCATCCACAAAGGATTTTCTTTCACTAGAAACATGAACGCTTGTCATTTTCTGCTTTTATTAAACTCCAAAAGACTGAGGTAGCTTTACTACTAACTGCTGGTGACTGAATCTTCTCATCCTGTCAACCCCCAGATGGACACAGCTTAGTTCTGACAGCAGCTCTTCAGAGAAGTCTCTCATGCAGTCCCTTCTCAAGCATAAGTTCACCCTTTTTTGGCTACCAGAATCCAGGTTGCACTGGGCTTCACTCTTATTACTTCTCTTAAACTGCAGTTAAATAATTTATTCTATAAGAAGATAATTCGTCGTGTGATATTCATCCTCCCTGCCCAGTGTGAACATTTTGTGAGAAAGTGATTGTGTTCAGTGCCTTCATTCAAGTAAACACTGAATAACTAAATACTCAATGAATGAATTACTTCTACTGATCCTTCCACCTTATTAGGAGCTAACACCAAGTCAGCAAGCATGAAGTATTTTCATACCAGATTCTGCAATAACAGCTCAGCTTTTAGCCCTTATCACCTGACACTGTTTCAGACGGCCTCAACTACTCTAGTCTTTAATGCGAAATGTTTAGAAAACAATGAGGACATTTGCCAACCCCCACATCCTTTCTTCCTACATTCCCACAGATCAAAGGTAACTACAGATTCAGGGGATTCAATGTGTCGTGATGAGGGTAACTTGCATATTTATCAACTCAGACATAAACAATACTTTTGTGTTGGAAACATTCAGAATCCTCCTTAGTAACTACTTTGAAATATTCAATTATTTATTGCCAACCACAGTTCTTCTGTGACCCAGGTGAGAGCCATTCCTACTATCCAAGAGTGCCTGTGCCCTCCATTAACCATCCTCTCCCTGCCTCTGCCATCCTTACATCCTCCTCAGGCTCTGGCAACCCCCAACCCATTCTTCACTTCTTGGAAATCAGCTGTAGCTTCTATGTGAAAGTGAGAACATGTATTGTTCTGTCAGAGCTTGACTGACTTCACATAATAAAAGTTCTACCACTGTTGTTGCACATGGCAATTTACTTGTGTGTGTGTGTCTGAGTAACATCTGTTGTGCATATAAATACATAGATGCATACACCACATTTTCCTTTGCCCTTTCACCTGATGGATACCCAAGTTGATTGTATATTCTGGCTATTTTATACAGTGTTGTAATAAACACCCATGGGCAGATGTCTCTTCAACTTGCCATTTGCATTGGACAGATACCTAATAATGGGATGCCTGGATCATATGGTAGATTTCTAGGTTTTTGAGTAACCTTTATTCTACTTCATAATAGCTGAGCTAATTAGCATTTCTAAGAAGTGTATAAGAGATCTATTTTCTTCGCATTTTCACCAGCTGTTTTGTTTGTCTTCCTGGCTGGAGTGAGATAATCTCATTATTGTTTTGGTAATGTATTGCCCTATTATGATACTGGGCCTTTTTCATATATTTGCTGGCTGTTTGTATACTGTTTTATCTCTTTTTTGAGAAATGCCTATCTTGGTTATTCATCCATTTTAAAAATTCATTTGATATTAATCTTTGATAATCTTCACAGGATCCAGGAAACAACTTCTAATTACAAACTGATTGTCAACAGTCCATAAAGTAAAACAATAAAATTTGAGGAATTGCATGACATTTTTATCTGTAATAATGATTGGCATGGCAATCATATTATTGATTTGCTATTGAATACTTTGTTGGGGAGGACATTGTGCAACTCTTTTTCATTACTCATGAAATGTATTGCTTGTCAAAATGAATTACCCTATCACATCATTTACTGGCAATAAAGTAAAAATATGAAACCCACAGTTTGTAACAGCAGACCTGGGACTCTGTGGATTGAGCCACTGTGGTTGGGAAGCACAAAAAGGCCCTCCAAAACACCCCAAGGAATAGGTTGATGTGTAAAGCTGAAAAGAACAGGACTTGCCTTCACAAACAGCCCTACAAATGGGAAGGGACAGCAGAGTGGCAATGCTCTGAGTAAGTTTCACGTACCTGCCATGGGCTCCCAAATGGGTGGCAGCTACTGAGTCTCAGTCCCTTCCCACCATTCCATGACTCTTGTCTCTACCAGTCATCTACCTTACTTTTTATTCTATTCTAAATGTCCCTGCCCCTATTTCATGGTGTTTTCTTAATCATACCTTCTGCTCACACACAGCTGATGCCTCCTCCAGATCCCTTTCTCTATGGCTTTAATCTTCAATAATGCAAGCAATAACCAACTTCCTCGATGTACTGAACTCAGGTCTCCCCAGGCAGATGACAGTAAGTCCAATCACTACCACTGGACAAAGCTCGTGTGCAGACCTCTGGGTCACCTCAATCCAGCCAGCTGTTGCGGCCAGAGAAGTGGCATCCTGTGGGGTGCAATGTGATTATCTACGCACAACAAAAAATAATTTGGGCCACATGGCTTCAAGACAGTAACCTCTAGAAGAAGGCAAGAAATGTGATTACCCTGGGTCAAGAATCAGAAGTGAGCTCATTTAAAAAGCAAGTTGCTCATTCAAATAGGAAGGGATACGGGAAAGCTTCCTGTTTTGTTAAGTAAAATAACAAGAGTTCAGATTTTGCTCATTTTTGTGTTTGCTACAAAAGAAAGAAAGAGAGAAAGGGAGGGAGGGAGTTGGGGAGGATGGGAAGGAGGAAGGGGAGGAGGAAGGGAGAAAGGGAGAGAGCGGGACATGAAGATTAAAACGCCATGGCATAAACAGAAAATCAACAACTGGGCCCTTTGTTCTCATATTGATTTGTCACCACTTAAAACCCATTTTCTAGTTCAATTTTTTTTTCATCATAATCCTGCTACTCCCAAACACAAACACAATAGACAAAGGCTTAAGAATCCTGCTTGGAATTACAGAAAGGAGTTAAGTTCACGTTTGGACCATATCCAGCTTTCCACCATCACAAAAGTCTTATTCAATCCCTCTGAGTAGGAGAAACACATTACATAAAGGAATGAAACTGTGCTTTTATCTACCCTTTAATTTAATATGTCTGAGTATTTTTGTAGAAAGTTATTTTGGTTATAAGCTTCTGGTTGTTACCATGTCTTAATTACCTTTAAAACAATTTTTACAAAACTTCAAGTTGCAATAATATAATCAGAAGGACAGAATTCCCTAATTCTAAATGACTTTATGTCAGAAAAAAATTTCCTAAGTTCATTTCTTCTGTGGTCTGGATTCTGTGGTAGGGATGTGTGTTGGGTAGGTGGGTGAGGCAAGGTGTAGAGTCTTAGGAAAAAAATAGCAAATTACTCAAACAAATAATTGTTCTATTTTTGAAATTTCAAATGTCATGAGTATGCACACCACTGCCATAAATATATTCATTCTAGGTAGCTGGAATATGAAAAACAAAAATTCAACATTTAGAAGCTGCCAAAGTCTATCAGTTGACCATAAAGAAGAAATGTGTGCCAAACAAGGACTTTTACAAAGTAATATAATGCTAATATCTAAGTTTTAATATAACTTATACAAGCACAAAAACAAGGACTAACCCACTTTTTTTCAGTTATAAGGAAATGGGGGGGGGTAATTAACGTTCCATGATATACAAGTCATTCCTAGTTTAAAAATCAGAGGATCTTCCTATTTCATAGCATCAATTTGTTCTTGTTCTGTTCTTTCTGCTAAGATGCTTCTTTTATCTTATGAATACAAGAAAATTAGAACTGTACTGCTGAGGACACAGAGGAATTTGTTCTTAAAAGAAGTCAACTACAACGATGTACTACTGCAGTACTTTGATACAGAGTAAGAGAGAAACTGAGCTTGAAACAATATTGATATCACAGAAAAATAAGCTCACTTCAAGGAAGAAAGCACATCTTGAATGACTCACCAGTGGAAATGCCCTAAGTCAACACACATCTGTGACAGATAAGATGGGAACTATCACGACAATTCTAACACCCAGTGTGCTTTCAGGGAGTGTAGCCTGCATCCAATAACCCATGTGCCAAGAAACACGGTGAGAGTCAAGAAGTAGAACCACTTTGTTATATCCTGCATTTATTTAAGCAAACCAGATGTGTAAAGATAGGAAATTAATGCATTTTAATGTTTTACAAATACAGAAAGAAGACACCAACTTTTAAGACCCTGAAGAGAGTGCATCTGAGAACACAATTCTATCATAGGAGACCACTTGCAGGGACCACATGAAAGCCACAGTCATCGAGCCCATTTGTCATTCTTTTTACATTGCTCAAGTTGCTTCTAAAGATAAATCAGTGATTCGCTTCCACATGAATACAAATACTAATGATTATGATTGCCTTGAAGGGTCTGTGAGTGACTATGCTATACATACATGATGCTGGGCTGAATGTGTTATTTCAATGCCATTGTACATTATGCTGGGGAGAAATAATGTCTTACTACACATCTACTATGACATCCACTAAAATATGAACTAATTTGCATAGGTTAGTCCTTTGGACAGCACAATGTTGCTCTAGTCCACCACCAAGGCTTAAAGATTCACAGTGTAGAGGAAAAAAAAATGAATTAAAGCATTTCTACTAAAATATATTTTAATAGCTGGTGTTAACAATTTGCATAACCAACACCAAATTTTGTTAATAACATTGTACCATCCAATAAGCCTCTTCATTTGAAAAACATTTTGAATGTTTGCTTCAAAACGGCTAGGTTCTCAAGGTTAGTACAGTCTTGCATATTTATCATCAGTCACAATTCTACGTGTTTCAAAGGAAGTAGAAGCCAAACTGCAATGGTTCAATTTTGCATTTTTCCACAGGTCAAAAGCCAATAGTTCTATATCACATCTGTCACACCCTTGGTGCTGCTTCCCCAAATGTACAGAAGCTCATTATATGGACACTGGAGAGTGGGACTGTGATAGAGTTTTTCCTTTGAAGCAATCCTTTTTATCAGCAACTGGATCACAAAGAAGTAGATACTATGCAAACCGAACACCACATTTCAAACACAAACAGCATATGCAATTCCCATGAATTTACCAAAATAATATGGACAGAATGGGCAGAAAATTTGCCTGGGCAGCTCCCCAGGCCCATGAATTCCAGTAGCATGAGCATCACAGGAGGATGACCACAGAAGTCTCATAGGATGTCTCGATTTTCTTGACCATCAATAGTTGACAACCTATTGCCTGGAAGGGGCCCTTATGGGACACGCTAGAGAGACACTCCCTTTTCAGTATCTGTAAGACAGGTTGTACCGCGACTTGTTTGCCTAAAATAGTCTCATCTCCATGTCAAGCCACCCAAAACTACGGCAATCTAGTCATGTTAGATTATCAGAAGCAAACAAAGTTCATTTTATATAGCGAATTCAGCCTTCTAACAAAATTATTCTCTTATAATAGATATTTCAAATACCAAAGCTAAATTTAATGTTTCTATATCTCAACTATATATAAATCCATAAGGAATCTTTCAGAAATAGATGGAAGTCAACATTTTCTAAAATTCTAAACCTTTACAGGTAAATACAATTAGCTACCACCATTAATATTTCTCAGGGGCATTCCCATCTCCCCACCACGAAAATACCATTTATAATAAAATATCACTATAGAATAGGAAAAATTTTGCTTGTTTAGCCTTCTTTCCAAGAGCATAACAGATAAACAGGGTAATCAGAAAGGCACCTCTTTTGTATATATCTGTGTTATAATCTTGGTTTAAACTATATCCACTTTATATAGCAATGCGTTAGCAAAGATCATACATACCATCTTCTAATTAGAAACAGTCCGTGGGAAATCATGAACCTGAAAACAAGGGGTGCCACTTGTACTTCCACTGTGTCTTTCAGAAAAGTCTTCCTAACCTATAGAGCGCTGTAGAGCTCTGCATGGAGGGACAAGGAACGTTCAAACTGGCAGACCCACAGTCTCATCACCTTCCGGCAGAAAAGGAGCCACTCTCATGCCAGCCACACTCAGACAGGTGCTTGTGAAATTGTGCTTACAAATCCCTGCGTGGTCCCCTGGGGTCAGGCCCAGGCCTCTGGGGAGAGCTGACAACCAGATAAATATCTCAAACTGAGTTACACTGCGATGTGCAGACAATACCAAGAAGACATCGAGCATTCATTTCGCAACAGGTCAGAAATAGCAAGCTTTCCTGAGAACAGGCACTAGTAGAAATATTAACTACAAAAACAACATGATATTCTGTTGTGATCCCTTTTCGAGAGATGACCCACATACAATTTTGTTTTCAAAGCCTTATAAAAGCATATTAAACTACTCGTTGTGCTTTACTCAGGCTTGAGAACACATCCCACTTAGAAAATCAGGGTGTAGCCTTCTGTGTGTGGGCACTTGCAGTCTTCTTGATTTTTTAAGGACTTGTTTTCACAACTCTTCTTTAGCTGTCAGTGTTACAGGTAAGGTCACTGTAGCCAAGCTGAAGAGGAGCAGGAGGCATGTGGCAGGTGGAAGAGCTATTTCCAGAACGGTGCTTAAAAAAATAATGCTGTAAAAATAGCACTTTGGTATCACACATCTGTGTTTCCTGTATTTCTACTGAGAAGTTTAATATCCTGACAAAGCTTTAGTAAAGATACCAATACCATTGAATGGCAACCCCAACTGCATGCAATGTCGTGTGCTGCCTCTGTCTTTATCATAGGATGATTCACCCTCTGGATTCTGACCAGTTGATAATGGCTAGGAGCTAAACAAACATCACGAGACTTTACCCAAATAGGTGCCGACTTCACATTCAACAAATATGACTTTGAAATCAATGGATGTGAAAAACAGGAGATATCAAACTGCTACTGAATGGTAACTGTACTAACTATAAGCAGTTTCAGGACAGTCTGCTTTGAGCTTCCTATAAATGTGTTATTTCTCAAAAATTCTACATTTAGCCTGGAAACGCAATCAACAAATGCTTTTAAAATCACCAACAGTGGTCTCCCGGGTGAAACATAAATACATACTCTATGATAAAAACGGGTGGGCTTATCGCCCTAGATTCTAATGCACAGATTTACCCAAAAATACTGCAAATTCAGCTTGTATTGGTATGTTTGTATAGACAAACCTCAGAATTCAAATAGGTTTAATCAATTTAACCATGATCAATCATTTCAAAGAATCAGTGAAGCTGGTTATTGGTAATCTCTCAAATGCCTTCCCCAAACTCTATTTGCCTCAATTTTTTAAATTGTATATCACTGTAGCATAGATGAAACTTGGATGTAATAAAGTTTTTCCTCTTTCAGTCTAATAAAATGAAATTATAGATTTTCAAAACTATTGAGCTAAATAATCATAAACATCAGTGAGTCAGCTTTGTCCTCTGGGCTGGTAAACATTGCAATAAAGATGCCTTGCAGAACCTGCTGTTAACTTCCTTGACTACATCACGTAAGGTGGGCACTCCCACAGCCCATAAATTGGATGACATGCTTGCAACTTTGCCTTTTTAGTGTGCATTTCCAGAGTCAGAGCCTCTAAGAAAGCCACCCTGTTGCAGGTCACAAAGGGCACATTCAGAGTGGCTGCCCACCTTGACTGCAGCCCCCAGGTGAAGCTTCAGGGTCCACCAGCAATATACGCACTGATGGTTATGCATGAAGCAAAACCCTGCAAAGTCACTCATTTGAAAACCAAAAGGTGACAACTATTGCTGTCTTAGTGGAGAGCATGTTGGGCATATACCTGAAAAATCACTCCTTACCTCATCCACTAAGGTGATGCAGAAAGTGTTAGGAATTCTTAAGAACCAGCATCAGTGGCTAGGATCTGAATGGCAGTTTTTGCACTCAGAAGCCACATCACCACAAGGTGGACTTGGCCACTTTTGGTTTGCTGGGAATTTTTTCCCCTCAAACATTCCACAGTCCATCCCCCCCCCCACTGGTTCCTATTAATTTTTCTTCACTTTAAAATCAACAGCAGTGCTAAGTTAATGAAAGCTGCTTGATAAACACCTAGATCACTTATTTACTAGAGTATACATGTTATTTTCTAAGATGTAAATCCCTCAAAACTAGAGTACAATGCAGCAGGAAAATCTCAAGCAACTTTTCAAAATATGTAATTCTGATGAACCGGCAACTAGAGGAAGGGCCATAGGGAGCAGCCACACTTTTTGCTTTAATTACAGGAGTGGGCAGCGCAGTTGCCTATGTTACAGAAGCTGGAACTTACGGGACATGCAATGGAGTCAGGACGGCCAGGAAAACATGACATCACAGTGGCCCCATTAGAGCAGCTGTGAAGGGCCTTGGTCCTGACACTGTACACCAGGGTCCAGAGAATGGAGATGGAGCGTACAAATGAGAACAAAGAGATCTCAAGTCAGTCTAGAAAACGTGGACATCTCTAGGTCCCTAAGGCCACTAGTCCACATAATTATAACCAGACTGTCTTATCCCCAACGCTTCCATTGATTGTCTTAGGCAATTTTTGCTTGAGCAAGAAATCGCCTAGTGACTCAAAAGCTCATCAGTATTTAAGTTATTGGCTGCATTACTGAGTTAAGTGGATTGGCTTCTTGGTGGTGATTCCAAAGTGACAGCTAAGAAATCGTATATTACTCATTACATTGAAGGGACAATCAACACCTCTATTAAAATCTACAAAAATACATTTTCCCAGAAGGGTTCAATAGCCAATCAAAAAAAAAAAAAAAATCACAAACACAGTTAGCAGCACCAGGTCTCCAGACATTAACAATTTTGTGTATAAGAATTAGCGAAAATGCTGCTGCTTTCACCCCAGAAGTCATTCTTCCTGGTACCTGTGTGTCTACTCGTCAAAGTAAGGATACATTATTGTAAAATAACTGCCAAATTTCCTTAAAAGTATCACCTATCTTTTAAAAAGGTTTAGAATACATGAGAGTAAAGCAGAAAGGACAAAGAGAAAGACTTAATTAACAAACTCAATGTAATTGGCCGGAAGCATCCCTGTTCTGCCTGTCCTCTGCACGGTGCCATACATCCAGCCATCATCGATGGGCTGCACGTTGACAATGTAGTCGCCGTCTCGGAAGGAGACTTCATCTTCATCCTGGGCGCTGTAATCATACATGGCTCGGTAGGTTCTCTGCAAAGGCAAAAAGTAATTACACGATGCATGTCAAAGCAGCCATGGCTCTAGATACTTAGCCCACAAGTACAGTAACTGTTAGGAACATTAGCAAGCACATTGCTTTCGAGGCATTTGTCTAGTTGTACTGATTTCAAGTTAACCAGCTTAACAAAATACACTTCTGGTGGGTAAATCCAGTTTGAAACCGCAGTTATAACAGCAAGCCTGTGGGAGAATAGGCTTGGAGGAGTAAAGCCAACTTCCCAGCATCACACAATTTCAGCATCTCAGGTTATGCAGGGTCTCCCTCATGTCAGTCTTCAGAGAACAAAACCCACCACATTGGCAGTCCCCAGTACTCTGGCAGAGGCCATGGACTTTTCTTAAACAAGAACTAGGGATTTTTGTTTCGCTTCAAAGGTATTTTAAAGAAAGATAATCTACTCACTTCTTAGATGTTTTGATATCACACTGACAGAAATTCAGCATATAAATGTGCAGAATCTGGAGGCACGCATTATGGAAGTATCCCTGGGAAAATCCTGAAACTGAGTGTTCCTATGTTTATTCTTATCTCGGGTTATGAGTTCAGCTGTATCAGAGAATCTCAAAATCCAGGGCATTCCCAAGCTGAGGATACTGCCAGGGCACAAAGGATGCCAGAGAAATTCAAACAGTCACCTGTTTCTAAGTGTTCGGGGACAATCAGGAGGCTGTGTCAAATTTTTGGAAAAGTAATTCCAGCATGAGATGTCAGGCATAAACAGGTGGCTTCAAACTCCACACTTAGTGGATGCATCAGTAATTCAGGATTTCCAGTGGGGGAATCTGAAGATGTGTGCTTTTCTCCTGTGCCATTTAGGTTTTTATGGTCATTTTGATTAAATATCAAGACTAACTCTTCAACATGCCCTTCAAATATGAAGGCATTTCAAAGAGTTCGTGAAAAAATTGAATTAAAGATCAGTTTATTTTGATGCAAAAAAATAAAGAAAAATTCTAAATCCAGACATAGTTATTTCGCAATATACATTTTTCATGAGTTGTTTGAAGATTCCTCCCATCTGTGCTTTTAGGCATGGATTACATCACTTGATGATACTAGTTATAAAAAATAAATCAAGATATTGCACAGGATCCATTTATTTTTTTATATGCTTACTAATGCCTTCCTTTTTCAACAGTTTATGCATTCCTCACTTCCTTTGAAAGAGCTGTAGAACTAGCAGCACTTCCTAACTTTTCTGTATATGAAAAGGCTCAGTATTCATCTAGACTCTCCCATGTATGTTTATACTGGTGCTTCCACGATAGGAGGCTGGATAAGAAGATGCACGCATGATTGACACTTACTAGATTTGGAGGATGCTGCATGGACCTCATGGATGACACACTGGCCTGGTGCATGAACCCGTAGCCCTGGGAATGGCTTTGCTGGTAGGCTCCAGGAAGAACAGGTGCTGTGTGGGAAGCACACGTGCATGAACACAGCTTAAACTCAGCTGTAAAACACCACTGCCCCAGCCCTCCCAGGAACCCCGCGCTGTGCTGGCAGCTTCTGAAAGAAAACGCCTTTGTCAGTACGTGTGTATTTGGGTAGCAGGGTTATGAGCCACCTCTGGATTAGCAGTGATTCCAGTAAGTAAGGACACACAGGGAAAATCAGTAAGACATGCAGTGGAAAAATATTTGAAGTATTTTTACTACTTGGTATGTGACAACTACACAACCACAAAGCAACATTCCCAATAATCCCTTGACAAAATTCCAGTTTCATTTGGCCACACAATCCTTCCAGGCATTTTCCAAAAACTAAAAGCCATATTTTTACAGGAACATAATGGATTGCCAAGCCAGCGCCGGAGTATCAGTGTTTCTCAGGTGCTTCTCATACAACAGGTCACTCTCAGAATTTCAAGACACACAGACGAAGGGTGATTTTACAAAGATGGTAAAAATAACATCGTTGACAATATGTTGGCTCAGCAAATCATGAAAAGCCTACAGCCTTTAGAGAATCTTTTATTTAGAAGTTATGGATTCTTCATTTTGTTTTGGTTTAAGTCAAGCCAATGCACATATCATGAAGTCAGTCAGATGAATAAGGTACCACATTATTTAAAAATCTTGTAAGCTTTGTCTTTCTATATTAAAATGATAGTATTGTCCAGTTGGTATTGTTCTTGCCACTCTTTGTGACAACCCAAAAAACACTTCTCCTGTGTGAGAACTCTGAACTTTAGAGAAACTAACACAGAAGCTGCATGCAGAAACCAACAAGCATCTGACTGTTTCTCTGTAACCTGGATTTCAGAGCTAGGAGCTTGAGGGGAAATGAGAGTATCTTAGCAGCATGTCCTGCCTCAGGCTTTGAAAAATTTATGTTAGCAATTATGTACTTCTAATTCTGTATAACTTGTAGATATATCTGCTATAAATTTCATAAGACTCTGCCATTTTTGTTTAATCAGGTTGAACATATAAAGTAATTGTAATAGGTTGGTTTATTCAGGACAGTTTTTATAATAAAAGGGATAAGCAGATTATTTTTGATATGATGAATAATTAATATTTTCTAAGTGGCTGATTTATTCTAATGATATGTGAGATCTATATTTTAAAGGAATTTAATCATTAGCAAATCAGAGATCATTAATGTGTTCTCCAGATGATAATATTAGGTTAAATGCAGATGTTTTCACACTGTGTTGAGTGAATTTGTACTATAATGCTGCTACAAATTGCATTAAATATCCACTTAAAGCATCAAAGACAAATTAATAGGGTCTTTCCTCAAATGGTAGTTCCACTGCAAAGTTGCTAAAATGTCATTAAACATCAAATACTTCAGAAAATGGCACTTTTTAAACATGTCAGCTCAATTTAAATATTTAATATCAAGAGATGTCAAGAACTTTGTTAAAATCAACCCATAAAGGGAGAAAATAATGAAATTTCCATAATAATTTTCTACGTGCATTTACTCAGCATTGTGTGTGCTAGAAGATGGAAGCGCTGACCATTCTTTTACTTGCTGCTTTAACTCTGAGTAAACATGGATTAATCCATGTGTATACACAGCTTACTGTACTGTCTGTCACACAGTCAGCCTCTGTAACTGGTAACAAGCTTTATGACCATTGTCCATGTTCTGGGCAGGCCAGGCATGATAGTGACTGATAATGCAACTCTGGGAGTAGTCCTGGCCCTGTCCCTAGTTAAGTTAATGTCTGGATGCTTAGAGCCTTTCCAATTAAATATGTGGATCCACGAGTCATTCTACATGCCCACATTCGATGGTCTTGAGCTGGGTTTGAAACCATTTAAACCCAGAACATTAAGCCTGGCACACATCTGTACCCTGGTCAGCGTAACTGGGTTCTACACCCAGCCCCAACTCTTGACTTCAGCTTCCTGGCAGCTTGGATCTTGGGAGGTAGTAGAGTAGGTGATGGCTGAAGTAGTTGGATCCTTGTCACCCACCGGGGAATGTGGATCGGTTTGCCAGCTAGTGGGCATTTGGAGAGTGAGCTAATAGACAAGAACTCACTCTGTCTCCCTTTTGACTTCTCAAAAAATAAATCTTAATTACTGATCCCTTCTTTAATTATTATTTGCATCTACTTGTAAATTCTGAAGCTTTCATTAAACATAAACATCTTTGTAAGCTTACTTCAAACAAAATGAGAGGCCAACATTAACAATGGTTCAGTGAGTTAACCCACTGCCTGTGAATCAGGCATCCTATATGAGTGCTAGTTCAAGATCCAGCTGCTCTCCTTTTGAACCAGCTCCCTAATGCACCTAGGAAAGTAACAAAAGATGACCCAAGTGCCTGGGCTCCTGCCACCCATGTGTGAGACCCAGGAAGAGTTCCTGGCTTCAGGCTTCAGCCTGGACCTGCCCTGATTGTTGCAATCATTTGGGGAAGTGAAGCAGCAGATGGAACATCTCTCTCTCTCTCCTTCTTTATAACTTTACCTTGATTAAAATCCAATGTGACATTATTTGCTATGAATTTTAATTTTTGATATTCAGAATTAGGTACAAATATTTTCCTTTTTTAGGTACATTTTCAAAAATTTGGAGAAAAAAGTTGCAGGAAGAAAATGGAAAAAAATGAAAAGCACATTATTTCATACTGCGTAATATATTTATGCTCCCATAACTGATACATCACAGTGCTCACCTAGTGAATTGACACATATGACCTTCAAGGAGACTGTGTAATAACTATCAAACAAGACAAGAAAGAAATGTGTTGCCTGAAATCACTGAGGGTTGCAGAAGCAGGAGATAGAGCTAAGAGTGAGAAACTATACAGAAAATATTATCCACGGATCCCTTCTAGTTCCTCTTTGTGCCTCTATTGATTGCTCTTTTTAAATTATTCTATTATCTCCCATGGTACAGTTTTGTAGGTATAAGGATTCGCCCATTTCTCTCTGCCCTTATTCTTCCCCACCTTCCCCTCCCACGATTCTTCTCCATCCTCACATATATTACAGCAGTATAGTTCTCCAGCAACAATTGCAAGTTAAACATTCTGTTACCCACATATACCACAGCACTGTAGGTATAGACAAAGGCAGAAAAATCTAGCATCATATTATTGAAATATATTTAACTGTTCCACTGGGAGTCCTTCCTTTGGGAGTAGCTATGCATATTGTAGGCTATCTTCACTTTCTGGTATGCAAGTCTTCATTATACATTTCATTGATGAGAATATATGTATATATTTGTTCACCTATGCATCCATTTATTATATATTCTGCATAAATATTACCTTATATCCGAGAGAATATATGACATTTGTCCTTTGGGGATTGGCTTATTTACTGAACATAATGATCTCCAATTGGGACCATTTTGTTGCAAATGGTAGAATTAAAAGAATTTCATCCTTTTTAAAGGCTCAGTAGCGTTCCATGGAATACATATACCACAGTTTCTACATCCACTCCTCTTTCAATGGGTATCTGGGTTGTTTTTATGTTTTCATTACTGTGGATTGTACTGCTACAAATTAGGGTAGCTTCCCATATACAGATCTCATTTTTTGGAATATATTCTCAGGAGTTGAATAGCTGGACCACATGGCAGATCAGTTTTCAGTTGTATTAGCACTCTCCATACTGATTTCCATAGTGGCTGAGCTATCCTACACTCCCATGAACAGCGGAGTATGATTTTACCCCATATCCACACCAGCAGGTGTTGTTAATAGATCTCTGAATGCTGGCCAATTTCACTGGAGTTAGGTGGAACCTCAAGGTAGTTTTTATTTGTATTTCTTTAGTAGCTTATGGAAATCACTCTTATATCCCTCTTTGACTAAATTATTTAACACAAAAATTTACATGGATGCTATAAAATCTTGTTACTTACTGTAGCAATACAAGAGCTTTTAGGAAGTTCCTATTATAGCTATGAAAAACATTACCTGAAAGCCCAGAGACATCAGCTTAGATAAAGCAAACACCAACTTAAAAAATGGTGGTGGTGGTAGGGAGCGGGGAATGAGGGGCAGAGGGCGAGGGGCAGAGGGGCGGTTGATGGAAGATCTGCTTCTCCTCTCTGTCTCTCCCTCTCTCTCTCTTCCTCCCTGGTCCATTCTCCACTCCCCACCTTCGTAGCTTTCACAATCTAATAAATCTAAAAATAAGCATTTGGTTATAAGATAGCTTTATCAGATATGTAATTTCTTCCATGAGCATATGAAATTTGAAGGGATTTGCAGAAGCAAGATGTTAGGCTAATTTTATAATCAGGGCTTCTTATCAAAGAAAAACACATGGCACCTGCTCTATGATGCTATTGTTTAGATCCAATTCGTATTGGCACTGATAAATAATGAAAAGATACAATTACTTTCCAATTGAAATTTGGAGGGTTTTTTAGTCAAATAAAACTACAAATGCTTTTGTTATCCTAACACAGCAACAAAATGCAGAACTGTGACTCAGCTTTCATTTAACCTTGGTAAGATTTATTGACCAAAGTCCTAGAAGCTGAATAAAGCTCCAAGCATTTTCGGCTCTACCACAAGTCCTACAACAATTACAAAACTAGAAATGTCTCTTTACTGCGCAGCAAAGTTCCTCCATCAACAGCCAATACTAATATTTCCTGCTTCACATCTGTTCCTAAAATGGAAGGAGATACACCCAACATAAAGCAAAACAAACAAAAATCTCAGAGGATACAGAGATCATAAAAAAGAAGGAAGATCGGGAAGCAAGGAAATCTACGTAAACATACCAAAATGAGAGTAACTGAATCAAAGAAATGGTCCCATAATTAAAGGGATTAAGTTACCCAAATAGGATTCCAGGTTGAGTATTGCACCCAGAGTGGATGGAAAATGAGAGTATTAAGGGTCTTTGGTATGCACATTGCTTTGCATCTTGTCCTTTGCTGATCACAACTGTCTCCTATAATGGATATCATTCCTGCT